CAAAGAAGCGATTACTGCCTAAAATGATAAAAAAATTAAATTCACGTATAGTTGTCACTACATTCTATGTAATAAGCGTATACTTTCCACTTAGTCCGTTGCAACGGAAAACAAGTTTGCATAGAATGCAGCGCCAGCTATATGTGAATTTTATTTTTTATCGTTTTAGGCAATAAATCTATGGTTTTCTTATGGCTTCTTTTGTTTTCGTCTTTCGTTCTTCATCTCGACAGAGGTTTCTTTTTTTGATAGACTGAACAAAAATATTTTTGTCTTAAAAATCTTAGGAATTTAAAATGAGATCTCGACTGACATGTCCATCTCAGTGTAACAACATTTAACGCTGCTATTGAGGTCAACCATCACGGTTTATCTATCTATTTTACATTTTTCTGCGTTTTTTCTGCATTTTTGGTTTTCTGCGTTTATTTTGCTGCATTTTTGGTTTTCTGCGTTTATTTTTCTGCATTTTTGATTTCTGCGTTTATTTTTTCTGCGTTTTTTTTTCTGCGATTTTTTTTCTGTGTTATTTTTTCTGCGTTTATTTTTCTGCGTTTTAGTGTTTCTGCGTTTTTACTTTCTTCGTTCCGTGAAGCTACCAAAAATACAATAGAATTGTATCATTGTTGGTAATAATGGTGAGTTTTTATGGGTTGCTATAAATTTATCTAAAAAAAACGACGATAAACAGAGAAAGAGCAAGAGAGAAAATGAATGTTAGTGTCGAAATCGCTATCGACAAGAGATATTGCTACGAATGAGCCTAATGAAATTTGGTCATAGTGTCGAAAAATAGTCGAAATCATCAAATTGGCACGGATTAAAATTAATTTTTCACCAGCAAATGTCGACCATAAAACTTTGCTAAATGGTATCATAAGTATGTTTTTCATCGCTTTATTTGTTCAATGTTTTTTTTTGTTGTTTTGTCATCCCTTCTCCGCCTCCGGCACTATATATTCTTACAACTGCTATACTTTCAAATTGTAAATTTATGTGTGCCTCAAGAAACTAAATGTGGCACTCAGAGTAGGGGAAAACGGTGTAAACGAAATATATATATAAACACTCACACATACATGCATAAACAACAAATAACTAAAGCACACTAGCAATTTACGGATTTAAACACGCGTACACATTGTTATTTTTATTTGCTGTCTTGTTCCGTATTTTCATCTACACAGTATGATGCCTATATTTATTTGCCAGTAATAAAATATTAAATCTCTATCACATTGAACCATGTGTGTTCCGGGGGGTCAAATTAAGCGGCACAAATCTACACAGACACGAGAAAAAAGAATGCAACGGACGAGATAGAAAAAGAAAGCAACAGAAAAAGCGGCATGCCAAACAAGACAACAAAGATAGAAAATGATAAAAAGTAGAAAACAATCAACGAAGCGAGGGACTTAAGTTCGGAACGAAGGACAACCGAGAGAAGAAGAGAAAAAACACACACACACACATCGCAAATGAAATAGTGACAAAAACATAACCATCGCAAATGAAATAGTGACGGCAGCATAGAGGCAGCAGTGACGCGGTGGTGGCGGCGACGGTGTACACCGTAAAACGCTTGCTTGCACTCCGTACAAACTCATATTAACAATAAACATATAGAACAGTCGAATGCGAAGCAAAATGAAAATGAACACACAACAAAAATTCCAAGTGAAATGTAATAAAAATCTGGTGTGAAGAGATTTATGATGCTCAATGTGTAGTTGGTGTGTTTACAAGCTTTTTTTCTTCTCTTGTGCCCGTACATCGTTGTACTCATATACGGCGCGCCAATCACGTTGAGAAAATACTGTGCCTCTTCTATCTTGCCCTATCTTTCACGGTTTTCATTTTATTCTGTTATCACTTTTGGCTTATTCGCTTTCTACTAGCCAACTCTAGTAGAGACGAGCTTTTTCCAAATGAAAAATATATATATACGCTACCACTACATATTTCTTCGTCTTTTTTTTCTCTCCTTGAAACAGGAAATTGAAGAAAAATACATTTGGCAAATTCATAATAAATCCTAATCAAATCCAATTTGCTTCATACCAACACCGAAACATATATACGTACAGTAATTCGTGTGTATAATACAAGCAACTGAAGATAGAAAATAACTAATGTTGTTGCTTATTTATCGTTATTATTCGAACAAATTCACTTCAATTGAAGCTGAACAAACGAAAAGATTGTCACGAAGGCAGAGGGAGAAAGAGAGTGAGAAGGAGACAGAAATCGAACACTTTGAAAGCTTTCGAAAAAAATATATATATGAACAATATATAGTAAAAATTTCAAACAATTTTACTTCCACGACAGATTCTTGATCTTTCAACTACTTTCTGATTTGATAAAAATCTGCAATCGCAATCTGCAATCTGGATATTTTTTTCCACTGCTGCTGCTGCCTTTGCTGCTGTAGAATAATAGTTTTTTTTTCTTGCTTTTTCGTTGCTTTGCGTTGAATTTTATTACTTCGTTTTATGGGGGTTTTCATGTGTGGAAATGAGATAATATACACAATCGATATGCGCATAATGCCCGCGTCACAATCATTCAGCTCGTTGTAGCATATTGCAATTTAAAAACGGACGATGATGAAAAATTTTGGCTCGTAAATTCGATCGTATTCAAGTCATATGTCTTTCTTAATGCTGACGAACTGCTTGTATTACCATGGTACCATTGCTCGTATATCGTTCCGATTTTTCGCATTTAAAGTTTCGGTTTTCTTTCTCTTTTTGTTTTACTCTCACTTCAGTTCGTTGGTTTATCGTCCATTTTGCTCTTCTTGTCTACATCTCGCTTACTCGCAATTGCACCAGACATGAAATGGCATTTCCGTTTTGCAAGTTAAACAGTTATATATATATATTTTATTCGACGAAAAATGCCATCATCCGCTTCATTTTATTTTTATCCATCTAAATAAAACATTTTCAACTAGAGCTAAACAAACGACCGGTCGTTCTCATTGAAACTAAAAGATGAATCAACAAACGCATAAAACATGAAATGTAATCCGCATAAGCTTTTCCATTTGATCCTAATTCATTGAGTGCACAACAGTGGTAGCAGCAATTGCCGGCTCTTATGTACAGGACAAAATCAAAAACGATCATATCAATCGCGCAATAAAACGAAACATTATTCGAAAGCAACAACAACGACAGTAGCAACCCAAAAAACCTCAAACACACTGAATATTATTTATCATGAAATGCTGAAGAAAAAAATGGTTTCGCGTATTTAAAAAAAATATACATATAAAGAAATTAAATTTTTAATTCGAGTGATTTGAGTTCAAAATCACATAAAAAAAAGAAAATTGGGAATATGAATCATTTGAATTGCAATTCGAAGTTTTATTTGATATATGAAAACAAACTGAAGATGACAAAATAGCTTTTGGGTTCACATTAAATGACCATAAAATACTCATCAAAATTCGAAATGACACGCGCACACTCTGCATAACAACGAGACAATGAGCGTTTTCTATTTTTCTCTTTCTCTATATCTCTCTTATTCTCAGTACATTTCAATTTCAAGGAAACGTATAGCGTTTGCATAGGCAAATTAATCATGATAATAGAATTTTTCAACAATGCAAATATTCACTAAATTGACTTTAACATTCGTTTATTTAATGGAACAAATACGCAAAACTTGATTTTAATAGGCTCCCCTCTTCAATTGTCCCCTTCTGTTGTTCTTTTAAAATAGGGAATCGCCTGGAATAATCATTCCACATTACTTCTAGACGCAAAATATCAATTCCAATTAGCTTGAATGGAGAAGCATGGTGAATTTTTGTTTAAATCAATTTATTGTTCATAGTAGGTGTCGACGAAACTTATCACTTATCTGTACTCAGAGTCGTTGATGCGTCCAAGTTCAAGGTAGGATAATTTCGAAAATTCTAAGAAGATTTCAAACAAGTATGTTTTTTGTTTAAAAAAAAGGTTCAATCTCGAGTGGTAATCTTGACATTGAACCCTCAAATTTAGCTAATTTGGTTTCAGAAGCATTGTCTATGATCCAAAATCCAAAATCTCTTTTTAATGAAGCATACTTTGCTTTTAATAACATACTTTTACGCATTCATGTATGTTATGATTACACCATTTTCCATCTCATTGATAGATATTAAAGCTGTAATTCTTGGGACAACATTTTTTTATATAAAAGACTCGTTCGCGCACAATACTTTTGTTCTAATTGAAAATAAGGGATTGTTTCGTATTTATTTGGTTTGCATGTAAAGGTGCTTTTGTTTAACAATTTCATGACCAAACACATTATATGTTTCGATTGAATAAGTACAAATTAACATACGTAACTCCTCTGCTTTAATTTAAGCAATGATTCCATTTTTTATATACTTGGAGCAAATAATTGTATTTCCGACTGTATTTTTTTTCGGCCACTTGATTAATTTTTATTTTCTTCGGACAATATCCGCCCAATTCATATTTCTTTCATTCTCCCATTCGCCGTCTTCCTTTTCTAGTTTAACAATGATAACAATGATAGTGGAGTTTAATAAACAGTAAATGTAGAAGCAAAGTGTTTACGGGCACGCTTTACATTTACGAGAATGAAATAAAGACCACCACCACCACCACCACTGTCATCATCATTTTTGCGTTTTGTTAGCATGCTAATGAATTCGTGACTGGAACGTAAAAAGAGACGCACAACACTATATAAAGAAATAAACAACAGCCCAGCCAGTTAACAATATTACGTCCATTTTATCGCGCAATATACGTGTATATAAATTATGTGAGTTGAAAAATGTAATTGAGAGAGTCGCACATGTACCAACAATAAAATATAAACGTACTCTATGAACAATGACAGCGAAAAAAAAAAAGTAGCTTGTAATTCATTTGCTGAAGTAGCGCAACAAACTCAACGATTTTCAAATAGACGAACATGAATTCAGATGAATTAATATATGAATGAATGAAAATGAAACTCACCAGCATTAATTTTTCATATTCCTCTTCTAAAGTGCTGCCGTTGAAATATTTTTGCGATAAATTCGTATCGGGAAAGTAGAATCCTTTGCGGCAAACACATTTGTATGAGCCACGTCGAAATCCCAGCCCGGAGATTGGTTCACACTGTGGTGGGGGTAGAGAAAAACAAACAATTAAAAAAAAATTATATTGCACTAATATGAATGAAAATCCAATTGAACTTGCAGTACTGAAAATATTAAATTGGAAACCGAGCGAAAAAAAAAAGTGAAATACAAACAAAAATAAATGATGAAAAACGGACAAACACTTGTTTGCCATAAAATGGAAACGTTTTATTACGCAGATTTTTGTTTGATAATGGTTTGTCCAGAGATGGTACGGCAAACCTCGTAACACATAAAATGGATAGTCGAAATGGGACGAACTGATAACATAATAAAAATTGACAAACGCCTTTTTGCCCCCTAAATGCTATGATTTCTTTTTCTCGCCTCTATTGAAAGCGAATAAGTAATATAAGATAAAAAAAAATTAGGAAATAGTCCCTCATAAATTAAAAATAAAAAAGGATCGTAAAATATCATATTAAAATAAGTAGCAAAATTGCATGCATTCGAATTTGTTATAGCACAATTCCAGTACACAAACGTGTTTGATATCATTGCGCTTGATATTTACATAACGATACACTCAACCATTTAATATATCGTTCTACAAACCAACAACTTAAATTGAGTGCAACACACATACTCATTCATAAAACGACGTAAAACATAATGATAAAATGTCATATATTTTATATATAGTTTTAATGTGGAATTAAATTTTATAGTGATAAAAAAATGTATTTATGCAATATTCATACAAAAGTAAATAAAATGTGGTAAAATGACTGAGTGAAATAATGACAAAATGGAAAAAGCACGGTGAGTGGCAAATTTTGTTAGAGTCCGGATATTAAATGTTGTACAGTACCAAGAAGAAACCAACATTAAAACAAAAAAAAAAGAAACTACCGTTATCTTTCATGATGAGGAAGAGACGCGTGTTCTTCCATCAATGCTTCCTTTTGGAAAAATGTATTTAATCAAATTTGGGAAACATTTTCATTTATTCAGTCATTCATTGTACCATAATTTAGCGGTGTTTGTGAGTGAAGCACATATGCATCGTATAACAGTTTAAGGTACTTCAGATACCACCATTAGCTTTTATTTTAATTTTGTTTCAGAGCACATACGATTGCATTGTGTTCGGATGGTTCAATGAAATTCGATGACAAGGGAGCGTGTAAACCAAAGCTGCTTCAGCATTTTATTTGAACATTTTTTTTTGTTCACAGTTAAATGTTCATTGAAACTACCACGTTTACCGCATCGTTGAGCACGTTTTATACTCTCTCTCTCTCTCTCTCTCTCTCTCTCTCTCTCTCTCTCTCTCTCTCTCTCTCTCTCTCTCTCTCTCTCTCTCTCTCTCTTGTACACGTTTGCCGTACGTCTCGTTTAAAGCCAATACGACTTTTACTACGCGTATTAGAAGAATTCACGCTTCGTGTACACTCGGCTCATCTTTGTTGTGTTTAGCAGAGCTAAGTTTGAAGTGATTTTATTTATGAAAAGTATTGGTATCTATACAAATTTAGAATAATAGAAAATAGTACATATAGTGGGATTGACTTTATCAATATATGAATCATTAACATTCGTATTTCAAATTTAGTTTCATTTTTACTGCTTTGTATATATGTGCAAGCGAATATATTAACCTGTTTAAATCATTAACACAATATTAGTTCGATTCATCTAGAATCTAATATTTCTCAATAATAATATTGTTCAGATTCATAGAGAAATCAATATTTCTCAACAATCTTCGCTGCTCAGGCGAATATCAGCAGTAGAATTCACTGCGACATGGCCAAAAAACATCAAGTAGCCATATGTGAATGTTTCATTCTCTTTTGTGCGAACTTTCTTTAACTGTGTATGGCTGTGAGCAAATACATGCATTAGATGCACGACAGTTCGCAGTGAAATCAACGGCTGATATTCCGTAAAGCAGCGATGATGTGCCGAGTATACATGAAGCGTGAATTGTTCTAATACACATTACTGACGTTGTATTGACTTTAAACGAGGTATTTTAGTGCTGTCAAATAGGACTCTCTATATTTGATAAACACAATAAAGGGCTTTGGCATTTTATTTCACTTTGTACACACACAAAATTGCGGAAAACTTAAATCTCTAATACAAAATTGAAATATTTTCAGGGCTATCGCCAGGAATTCCGTGAGAGGGGGGCAAGGCAAATGAAAAATGAGGACAATTTCAACAAATCGAGGACATCGAAAATACAGTGTCACTCAAAATTATCCATATTTCTTCTCAAATGTTTGATAATTTCTATGTTATATATCAAACAAAAGTAAATTTTGGTAGAAATCGAAGTGAATGAATTATGACATATTAGTAAATCAAAAAAAAGTTTATGAGGTTAGAATCAACGCCAACAAAACCTTTGATTTGATGTCTCGAACTGGATAGATTATGACAAAAGCCATAAAAGGCTACTAGAAATAACCTCGTTTTAAAAGAGAAACTCTGTAAAAAAAATAGTATTTGGTCCCTGCTGGCAACGCCCCTGAATAAATTAAACTCAATTAAACTACAGATTATATTAATCTGAAAATGAAATACATTAATTTCCACGCATATTGCATTTAAAGTTTTCATTGAAAATAAACAAAATTTATATGCATGCGTCAGCAGTTTGTATCATAATAGTGCCTTTTGAAGTTTCAACGTTACATTTTATTCGCTTGCGTAAAATTTTAAATACAATGCGAGCAAATTTCTATATTTTATTTACAGGTTCATATACACTTCAAGTTGAAATTTTCACCACATTTAGTTCAAAATTACCGCATACGGTAAAATCTATCAATTTAATATAATTATGTTTAACATTAAATATTTCTCACAATTTTATATGTGTGTGTGCAATTCATTAGACCGAATGAAATTTCCTATATGAGCAAAATACTAGCCATACACTGAATTCTATTTATTTTGACAGAAAATATTGTATTAAGCGTTCACTGCGAAGCCTCAGGCACGTTTCAGCATTCTGCAAAAATCACTCCGATTTATTTTTCATATGGGCGTTAAACTAGGTTGAACCCAGTGAACTAAACCCATTTATACATATATTATTTTTAAATCACACAATTTCTGTTATATTCTCGCATTGACACTATTTTGTAATCCAACAAGAGCTCTCCATCCAAAACCAATTAAACCTTTATAATACGCATTGCGTTCGATTAAATAAATAAGCAAATGTAGTGTATTACAAAACACTCGATATTGATATTCCCAACTTCATCAACCTCAATCAGACCATATACTGAGCATAGATATTTATCCGGGATATTTTGTGCTATATACTCACACAAAGATGCTCGCTCGTACAAGCATCGATGTTCATAGATCATCATTTCAATCATTCATCAATCATCTGTGCATTATTTCTCCTTCAAACGAATTGTGTTTAAGTCAAACACGTCGATTCAAGTGTTGTACACAGTTCGTTTAGAAGGAGCAATAATGCATGGAGTGTTGCGTTAATTATCGGATACTCACAAAATATCTCGGATAAATATCTATGCTCAATATATGGTCTGACCTCAATAATAAACTTCAACTTGAACCCAAACTCATGAAAACAGTCGAAAACTCATGCACGAAAAACCGTATGGGCTCCGAACTTGAAAAATCACTTCAAATAAATGCAGTTTTGTATGAGTTGATTGTATAATGGCGAATGTTCCAAAATTTGTATGCAACAGCGATGTGAAATACACACAACACAAAATAAAATTAATAATTGTTTTCATTATTGGATAGGAAAAAAATTAGGCTAAAAATGAATATTTCTTTAACTAATAATTTATTTGAATGACGAACTGCAAAAGTGTGTAGTTAATATTCGAAACCGGTGCAATTTGATAAATGTTATGCACCATTCACATTGCTGCATATTTACTATATATATAGTCATGAATATTTACGGTATGTTATGTACGTTGACAAAATGATTGTTCACTGGTTCAAATGTATATATTCACTGAATATTCGTAGTTAAACGCAAATAAAAAATACTTTAAAAACTAGTAAAAACCATTCGAGTATTTCGGTCAGTGAAAACCCATTTTACAACAATACAATGACTTCATCCAAAGAAAAAATGTTAAAATTCCATGGAATTCGTTTATTTATTTTATTATAAAGAGTATATTCGTTCGATATGAAGGGAAATCTTTAAAAGAAGCACTTCTCTAAAAAATTGGGAATGAAGCAATAACGAAGTTTTAAAAAATGCCAAAACCTTGAAATAAATTATTTGTAGAAATAAATGGTTTCAGCTAATATGCTATGCAATTTTTTCCAAGTTTTTGTGTGCTGAATTTGTATCATTGTTTTGTGACTTCATTTCGATCTGTGTTGATTAAATGTCGGTGACAACTGAACAAATACTTCACATCGGTTAAATAACGACAGGTTTATCTGGAGTCAGTGGAATACTGTTCAAACTGTACGAATACATTAGTTTAAATTTTCTCACACTGTGCCGCACATTTGGTTAGCATGCTTCACGGGATATTGCACACACATATATAAAAATAACGAATATTTTTATAAATTACCTGAGTGGTTCTCGCTTTGCATTTATCGGTTCCAGCGAATATATTTAATGGTAACGCAACGCCGCCAGGAGCTACTTGACGTTGTGGACATTGATCAATGTCGACTCGCCGTAAATCAATATCGATACCTGAGGTTCCTCTGCAAAGAGATAAAAACAAAGAAGACAAAGACAATAAATAAAATCTCTATCACCTATACGATGGGTGGCTGTGGGAAAAAAATAACGGTAACGGTATGGAACAATAACACATAACACACATACCCACAAAAAAAAATGAGATCCAAACATAAAAATCATGGTATCAACGAAAATAGATTTATTTAGCGAGCCCATTGTGCTCGTGCCTTGTCTGCTGGAGACATTTTTTGTTCTCGCTTTTCAGCGCAAGAGATAGAGAGAGAGAAAGTGCAAAACGAAGAATAAAAAAAAGTGATTCATGAAACAAAGTAAATATTGTGAAATAAAACGACTTCAATGTCAATTATGTCACACACGATTTCGATCAATATTTTGGTTCTGGATTGCAGAAAAGCTGTACGCTGTTTTTGTTGTCATATTGTAGAGAATGAGCTGGTGCTATTGTTGTTGTTCATTGCCATAGAATGATAACAATAATACAAAAAGGAACTAGGTCGAAATGGTTTGTTCAATAAGTCAGTCAATCAGAATCGGAAATTTATTTATTTATTTTTTCTCTGTATATATCTTATGTTTGTTTGCTTGTTTGCGAATTAGAATATATTTGCCCATGGGTGTGTGTGTGTGTGTAAAAGTGTGTGGTCAAAAAATACGGATGGAAAAGAGGATTAGAAGTTAATCCAAAGATGATTCGAATATCCGGATTTTCATGATCTTTATATTGATTATGTTGTTTGTATGTCAAATGTGAGATGCTAAGCCGCTTGTTCGCTACCTTTTCAATTGAAATAACTCCTGACGACAATATCGAATCAAAGAAATAACCGAATGTGGTTCGACGTCTTCTTCTTGTTTTCTCTTCTTCATTCTTTCTCCATATTCCTGATCCGCCCCGTATCATTGACATATTTTCCAAAAACTGTATTATTAACCCATATGTTTACCCTTTTTTCCCAATAAAATGCTCATCGGTTGCTGTAATTCTCTAAGTCTCCATTTAAATATAAACATGTAATCGGATCTCTTTGACTTGCATGAGTTGTAGGTCAAATCTATTTGAAATGCTTTTCATGAGCTGAAGAATGAATAACAAATGATATTTAGAAAATAATCATAGTTCAATAGAGCATTTCGACGTTCGAAACTTCATTCCATTTTCAATTCGTTTGCATACTCTCCGAACCAATGTTCGTAAATGAATAAAAATAACGTCACCATACTCATTGCAAATGGGGTCACATTATTGTTTGACAATATTAAATAATCATCTTGTCTTATTGTGTAAGAACTATATTACATCCTCAATCGACCGACATGAGCCACACATTTCAACCACACCTATTTTGTGTTGATTGTTCACAATGACGTCAATTAATTCTCGTTAATTAATAAATTCTTACATTGTCTTCATGACATTGGACAGTTTATCTGGTCTTATGTGATTATGCTGGAATTTCATAATTTTCATTAACCAGTTAGAATGCCAGGTAAACGAATACTTGGACGTTGAGAAAAAAATTTCGATAATTTTTCGTTTAATTTTATTGACACAACTATTTCTATGGTGTGATCGTACATTTGAACGTTTAAATATCAAAGGAAATCCCCCCTCTCCAAAATGGTATGGCTTTGGATCATGGAAAAATGAAAAAAAATCCATACGTAATCTCGAAAATTTCGTCTGCATAAACCAAAATACTCCGCATGCCGAATCGTATGGACGATACAATGGTTTGCTTTTCACTTGGATATATTACAACGATGGAAAGCAATAAATGTTCGAAATCATTATGAATTTCTCGCCGCTGTCAATTACATATCAATTTTCATGCTGTATCACCATCATCTTAGATAAACACAGGGAACCACATAAATACGCACAACGGAAAATCGAATCACCGAAAATCAGTGATTGTTGCAAAAATCTATACAAAGGAAAAATGTGATATTATTTTAACACGTCATTCATAAATATTAATGTAGACTCTATCGATTGATGCAATCGCAAATGCCGCTGTGCGTGTAGAAAATTCGCATGATTTTCGTTACCGAGATAACAGGAATCGAATTCAGTGTGATTTTTTTTACATTCTCATTGATTGGTATGGCTGAAACTTCATCGCATTTGATGCTTTATTGAAATACCTTGAAACTGAAAGCTTCGATGTATAATCATACATGATCGTCAAAATTACAAACCAGACCTGAATTTTAAGCGTTTCTTTTTATAATTTGGTTTTTATTTTGCAGGCATATTTTGTGATTGGCTGTGTCGAACAACTGCGACGCATAATATAGTGACATTGCGTATTTCATGCACCTTATTTAATGCCATTTCGAAATACATCGAATAAATCGAGTAAATTTCTTTTCACCACAATAACAACAACAAGAAGAAGAAGAAGAAAAAAGTCTGTGTCATCCTAATGGCATTACAAGCGAATTGAAATCGGACGCAAAGATGTGTGTGCGTGTGTGTGTATACCGAGAGGATTTGCAGTTATCAATAAATGTGTGCTTTTGATCAAATTTGTGCTCAGCAAGAATAATTTGGACGTAGCACGCACAAATCGGTTAGATTTAACCAAACGCCATTTATCGTTGATTGGACGTGACGTTGGCCCGATAAGTAGCAAATATGTATAAAGCAAAAGGAATGACAACATAAATGGCGAACAACGCAGCAGCCAAGGCAGCAGCACATTTTGATGTGTGGGAGCGATGGTTGTGCAATGACGGTATGAGTGAACAAGAGTGAGCATGTGAATTCGAAACCAAAAACTTGGAGAAAATTATAATTTTGTGCTAGATATGTATCGAGGGCCAGGTGTAAGCAATGTGTGCTTGAAATGAACTTGAAACCTGATTGCCTTTCATCCGTTTTGATGTGTGCGTGAGCAATTTTTCTTTATGCGCCACCAAACATCTAAACAAATGGCACAAAGAACGATGACTTTTACCAAATTTTATTGAACTTACCGATAAATATGTAAGTTGATTTGGCGATGTGCAATTCCAAATAAACAAATAAAACAGAAAATGCGTTGTTGTGTCTGAATAGATTCGGCCATCTTGTCGGGCGCATCAATTTAGCGCCACATTTCGCATAAAATATGGAATGACAAAAGATGTGCGGGGAGAATAACGTTTCGCAGCATTTCAACACGGACAGTAGCTGCAATCTTGACTTGTCAATTTTGGCCAATTTTCAACTCACACACACACACATATCCGTAAATTATGTTGCAGTATTCATTTAATGGAATTGATGTCAATAAAATTTTATTTGAAATTAAGTTTTAACTTCGATTTAACTCCGCTATCCAATTTGGATGTATATAAAGGACATTTATATTCGGTTCAATATCGGCCTCTATTGACATTGGTTTATGTTTGCTGCTCTTTGCATACGAAATTAACCAAACGCAAATAAACAAATGAATGAACAAAAAAGCTAGAGAGAATAGAAAAAACGAAAATGCACTTTCCAAATCGAAATATTGCCGAAGCAGCGCGACAGTAGAAGACGACAACAACCCGGATAACGGGCAATGTAAAGAAATACAGTCCAACTGAACACAATCCAAGTACATAATGACGAAAACGTGCAGACAATATTTTCTAACAAAGCAACAATGTTCATACAATTCACGAGATCGCATTGCCATATAGACTTGGTTTTGTGTGCAAAACATTTTTCAAAAGGTTCATTTCTCTCTCTCTCTCTCTCTCTCTCTCTCTCGTTTGATACAGTGATATAAATAAAGTAAGCGTTGCTGTTCTTTTATTGGTGTTTCTTAAATAAAATTCGATAGACATTCGTCTCCAACTCTCTTGCTTGTAGTATGATAAACTTTCACCGTGCATAATATGCAACGCACAAACGCACAACGCACAAGAGTCACATAAGTGTTTCATCATTCAGCAAAACGGTAATATTGTTTAAAGTATCTGCCACTTTTTCACCATATTCATATTATACACATTGAAATGTTGCGAATACAAACGTAATAGCATGTTCATTGTGTATACAATGTGTCTCTTTAAATGTTTACATACAACCAAATAAACAAAGCGCGTAAGCATTTGATGATGCGTAACATGGACAAAAAAAAGAGTGTTTTCCACAAACCAACAAAGAAGCAGAAAAAGCACAATCGGCTGACTGAGGCAGTCAACAAATAACACAGTCGCACTCATTCCATGTGATATGACTGGATCTTCTATTAACCAGTCTTAAGCCTTTTTGTGTTTATTTATTTTTATTTATCTAAGACAACTTTATGTAGTTCCATTGGCGAGCACATAAATTACTTGCACTTGCATATTGGACCCCGTATTTTGCATTCCGTCACTTTCACGACATGGGACTGACGATGTTATTATTCACTTTCTCATCAATTGAGATCATCGATGGCACGTTTGAAATACAACGACATTGACACCCGCCACCTCTCAATCTCTCTCAGTTGCCGAGCTTTTGTCTCATATCTAAAATCTACATAACCATTTTATAACTATACCATTGTAAGAAATGCAAATGGACTAGTTGAGGACGATACTCGCCTTACGCTTTTTGTGTACAACACGTTCCATAGAATTTCTTTTGTTGTTCACATTATTTGGAATGGTCAGATGGATGAAAACTATAAGTATAGAGGTACAGCTGAGACGACAGAAATATGGAACACAGAATAAATTAGAATGCGTGCTTGAAATTTATATCAAATCAACTGCATGGAATCTAAACTTTGTTCAACTAAGTTTGTTAGTTCCAAATTCAATTCGTTTGACCCGAAGTAAACCATTTTAATACATGCATCAAGATCAAGTTATGGGCAGGAAAAAAATGCCCAATTCAAATGTAAATCAAATCTTTATTTAATAACATATTTTTTTTACTTTTCCTAGAACTGAATATTTAACAATTTGTACTGTTGAAACTCGAATGTTGCAGTTTTTTCTGGTATTTTCTGTCGAAAATATTTTCGGCTGAGGG